ACAATCTATGAATCTATATAAAGTAAAATAGTGAAAACTGTTACAAAATATATTATTATGAAGTTTTTCATAATACAAGAGTTTCTTTCCTTCTATTAGAGATATTTAGAGATTGGTCTTAGCATGTTAGCTTATTGAGGGCTTTGCCTTAGTCTGAGAGAACCTCTAGTCCAATGTTAGTGAAACACTTAATTTTTATGCAACTATAACATGACTACATAATATTACAGAGTAATTTTGAAAAATTTGGATTTAGTAATTTTATGTGGAATTTTTAAAGCCTGACATCCACTTCATATCGATGGGGTGCATATAAACTGAAAGATCATAAATGGTTTGGTGCCAGTTAATCATTTGGCCTTTTCTGAAACTGAGAAAACAGGGTTTGATTATATAACCCTTACTTATTTCAAGCAGCACTTGTAGTCTTATTTGCTTGAATTAATGTTACTTGTTATGAATAAAAAAGCTTCTAAGAGCAGGCACCTAGAAAACAAGTTGATTCCAAAAAAATCAAGAAAGAATCATTTTAATTTATCCTATAACTGAATTTCACCTTCTAAGCAGAAACAAAGATATATTTATTAATACTTTTACAGGGAGCAATTAAATAGCGAACTAAAAAGTAGAGTAGGATGGGACTGTCAAAAAAGAGTTTCACATAGCAGCTGTTTCATATGAAAGTATAATTTAGAAGCTGTACTTTTACAGAAGTTAATTCCCAGTTGATCATTTTTAGGTCTTTACAACTTTATAAGAATAATGGTCTATTTGCAGTATGTTATAGAATGCCATAATACCAATTTCTTCACTGATTAATTTCAAAATTCTGAAGTCAAACACTCAACCTTCTTAACAAGATGCAAAAATCTATGTAGCCATATATATCTTTTAAACGGCGCTGCAATCAATAATCTAACCAGTAATAAGGCCAACTTAAAAATCAAGCTCAAGACACAGATCAGGTATATTTCAACCAGGAGTCATTGTGTTATATTATGAAGCATGGATAACAGTGAACCATTTGACTATGGAATGCTAATTTATAAATTGATTTCATTCGCAGGTGTATTTCTCCTGTGGGAAGCAGTTATGAATATTGAATAAACGATTCCAAAGTAACATTCAAAAGGTCTGCTTGGAGTGTTTGAGAAGTGAACAGCAGCAGAGGCTGTGCTCACAAAGAAACATTTAGAATGCAACAACAAAAGACCCACAGAAGTCTAGGAAGAACTAAATAAGAACTAAATGGAGTGAAGTTTGATGCCGATAAGTACAAAATGATGCACATGAGGAAAAATAACCTAAGATACACATACACAATAATGGGCTGCATTAACTGTCATTACTCAAGAAAGAGATCTCAGAATTACTGTGGGTGGTTCTCTGGAAAAATTAGCTCAGTGTTCACCAGCAGTCAGACTGGTGAACACAACATAAGGAATTATGAAGGGAACTGAAAACAAAAAATGAAAAAAATGACATCACTCATTTTGTTTTCAGCATGACATCACTCCCCAAATTCATGGTACATTCAAACCTTGAATATGTGTGTGCAAGTCTGGTCCCCCTATTTCCAAAATGATATAATGAAGATAGAAAAGGTGCAGAAAGGCAACAAAGATGATGAGGGATATGAAGCGTCTTCTGTATGAGGAGAGGCTAACAGGTGAGCACTTTTCAGATTAGATAAAAGACAACTGAAGAGGGGATATGATACAATTCTATAAAATAAAGAATGGGGTGGAGAAAGTAAATAACTATTTAAATATTTCTCACCATACTAAAACTAGGGAATATACAATAAAATTATACGATCCCCGAGTGAGGCAAAAGGGGGAAAGGGGCCAGGAGGCTTCCCTGGCTGACCAGAGAAATCCAGGGCAGCCTAAGGGACAAAAGGGGAGCACACAAAAAGTGGAAACAGGGAGAGATCACCAAAGACGACTATACCTCCTCTGCTCGTGCTTGTAGGGAGGCAGTTAGACGGGCCAAAGCTGCCATGGAGCTGAGGATGGCAACCCAAGTAAAAGACAACAATAAATTGTTTTTTAGATATATTGGGAGTAAAAGGAAGGCCCAGGGAGGAATAGGACCCCTGCTAAATGGGCAGAAACAATTGGTGACGGACAGAGGGGACAAGGCTGAACTCCTCAACGAGTTCTTTGCCTCAGTGTTCCTAAGTGAGGGGCACAACAAGTCTCTCACTGGGGTTGTAGAGAGGCAGCAGCAAGGTGCCAGACTACCATGTGTAGACCCTGAGATGGTGCAGAGTCATTTGGAAGAACTGGATGCCTTAAGTCGGCAGGCCCGGATGAGCTCCATC